CGTTTAATGAGATAAACGCAATATATATATTATATATACCAACGGCTTTAGATTGCTTGGGTTTGTTTTACGGTATATCAACCTCAATGGGTTATTTAATGCCGACAACATTTTTTATCGTTAGTAATTTTTTTTTTTTTTTTTTAAATCTATTTCTGGTAATATTTTTTTTTTTTTGACAAAGTATTTCAAGTATTAAAACCTATTTTTACACCTTCATGGTGTTTTGACCCCAGTTTGGGGGTTAACTAGTTGCCTATAGCTGGGACCCTAACAGGTGCTACCACCCCGGATCAAGGGGGACCTGGAAACACCAGTAATTAAGAGGTGGTTTCACGCACCTCGAAACCTACTGATCAGAGGCCTTGATGTTGGACGTAGTTTATCGTCACACCCAGGACATCCAACGGCTTTAGAGATGAGCACGCAATTGTATAAACAATATACATACATACACACACACACGTGTATGCGTGTGCGCAAATATATAAAAAAATAGGAAAGAACACGTTAGGTAAATAATCCGAAGTTCTTTAGTATTTTTGTTTTTATTTGTAAAAAAAAAAAAACAGTGCTCAATAGAAAAGTAGAGCCTAAAGTGTATATATATATATATATATATATATATATACACACACACATATAACACACAAACATATACATGTGTGTATATATTCTGTGTATTTTTTAGACAGCAAATGTTCTTTAAAGTAAATAAAAACAAGCACTTTTGAATCGATTAATTTTTAATTTTAAAAATTCGACTTTTCAAAATTAACAATTGTTTCTACCCATCCTGATGATGACTTAAGAAAGTCGAAACTAAAAGCTTGGACCACATTTCTTGCACTTTTCTTCCGAAATGAACTTCGGACAATTTGCCGGAATTTCTTCCTGGTCTAAGAAGACTAAGAGTAAGACGGATTATTCGTAATTTGAAAAAAAAAAAAAAAAGTCTTTTTTAATAATTATTAGTCAATCTATTTTTAATATCTTGTAACATCTTTTGTAGCCTACAATTTTAAGGCGGAAACTATCATTCGTGAGAAACTAACATATATATATATATATATATATATATATATATATATATATAAGCACAAATATGTACAATATATTTGTAATTTATTTGTTTAAACGCATACTCATTTGAGGAGATGTTCTGTCTTTAATTATTTTTATTTAACAGTATATTTATTTTCATCTACCGGCCTGAATATTCGAGAAATCTTGTTAGTTAAAAATATGTGCTCTCAGATAGACGTGTGTGTGTGTGGTTGTTTTCTATGCTGTGTTTTGTAAGAATACTAGTAATTGTAATAGCAGTAAATTTATTAAATTTTTTTGTTCAATTTAAAAAAAAACAAAAAAAAAACAAAAAACGAAAAAGAAAAGGAAAACTCAAGATACCTCAGTTAAAAAAAAAAAGGGTGCTGTTTACTTATTAGTGATTGTAATCTTCAAACGTTTTGTTATGACCAAAATTAAAATCCCACCTCTTGAAAACAAAAAGGGTTATATAAAAAAAAAATTAACGTCTCGCTGAAAACACGACGTAAACGCAAAACAAAACTGTTTATTAACCTAAGCTCAATATTATTACCAATTTCTACATTTGGCACGCAAAAAACAAAAAATGAAAATAAAAGAAAAAGCTTATATAATAAGGACATAAATTTTTTTTTACAAATATCCCTTGTTCATCATTTCCGAATCATGAATAAAAGAAGGACTGCTACCATATTACGGTGTGTGTGATCGCGCGTTTTTCTCTTGCAACATAAATAAAATCCTCGTCTGTCGTTTTAGAACATTTGTCAATGAAAAACTGCTACCTAAATAAATCAAGTAGAAATGCGCTTTTTTTTTTTCTTTCCCAGATTACTTACTCATATAAATTTACAAGCAAGCAACCTTCCGTCTCTTACTAGCTACGATGAGGAGGTGCTGAAAAAGTTTTCAGACCAACCCCCTCCAAAAAAAAAAAAAAAAAAAAAAAAAAAAAAAAAAAAATTTGGTCATATTTTAGAAAGTGGGTCGAGCCGCGAACTTTTGCAGCACCCCCTCATGCTGATTATGTGTCCGCGAACACGCACGTCTGAGAGTCGAGTTCCACATACAGGATGACAGAAGTATGTGTGTCGCTCAACGGGGACCGAACTTGCTAACCTGCTGAAATAAAGTCACTTCCCACTTGATCACCGGCCTACAGTAGACACACTTATACACGCACTTAATTAGATATAGAGAATTTTATTCGTCTATTACTTTTCTGTTGTAAAAGAGACAGATAAAAAAAAAACAAAAAAAAACTTAGAGGCATGAATTATATGTCGCAAAATTTTATGCGATATTTAAAAAAAAAAAAAAAGAAAAAAAAAGGTGCCTACTGTAGCGCAATGGTTAGCAAACTTATTTGCAACCTATATGCTCTTGGTGCAAGTTAGACCCTCACTAGGTGCCTCATACGTACTTAAAACTAAAGTACGTATTTGTTACTTAGTAGTTTTCTTTAAACAATTGAGGCACTTAGTGAGGATCAAACTTGCACCAACAGCGAATAGGTTGTAAATAAGCTTGCTAACCATCGCGCTACAGTAGGCGCCCTTTTTTTAAATATCGAATAAAAAAAAAAAAAAAAAAGTCTCAAATAGTTTTAGAACAATTCTTGTAATTTTTTTTTTTTTTTTGCCAGATTCGAATTTGTTAAATATTTTTCTGCTTTTGAAGATTTGAGTACAGAAATAATTGGTCAGTGGGGAAAAATGACTTTTTTTTTTAAAAAAAAAGACTATTTTAAAATCTTAAGAGAACCGATATGGAATATGCGTAATTAACGAAATCTATCCTAACGAAAATGATTTCGATTTTGAAAAGAGAATTGTTACATGTTTGGCACCAAAGAGTTATGCCACCTATCAACAAGAAAAAAAAAATGTATTGTAAACTTTTTACCTATGGGTTATATTTTTTCTCATGATGCATCTAAAAGTCAACACAAACATTTTAAAAAGTGACACACGTACACACACAGTGTAACTAAGTTTTAGATGTTTTAAGTTTGCTTAAAAAAAGTTGCAACTAAATATTTCTAAATTTTCGAGAAACGGTAGAGATAAATTTACATATAAGACTGAACAAACTTAGTTTTACTTTTTTTATATAATTCAAAACCCGACGTGCTTAGCTTAATATTTCTATACAAGAAAGATTCCGAAATAAATAAAGAAAGAAGTGCATGGTCCCAATGCCGATTATTGTACAACACAAATTTGTAACAAGTTAGAAACATAAAATTAAAACCTTTCTTCAGCATAATGTTGATGTCATTTTAAAAATTAAAATGACATTTCTTTTTATAACCATGTGTCAACACATCTACAACGTAGAAAGAAAAATTATATCTGAAAATACAAAAACACACGCGTATTGTTTACCTATGTGACATCTCCCCAAAATAGTCTTGTCTTTCATGTGTGAAATTTACACTCTTGTTATGTTCACGCACCTGTTTTCAAACTAGTAGAAACTATTTGACAAATATTTCTTGGACAAACTAATTAAAAACAAACACTAAGCTTTTAACAAGAGTGCATTTTAAAAGAAAGGTAGTTTGGGTTTATATCTGTCAAACATCTTGTGACTTAACTACAAGTAACTATGAAATAAAAACTCCCTCTTTTCGACAAACACACACACAAAACACACTCTCTCAGTAGACAAGAATGATCTCCTTAAAAGAGACTAAGCAATCTTGAGACGTAGGTGTTAAGAAAATGTTTGACTTTTCACTCGTAAGAAGCTTACATAAATCTCCTGTGTACACAGTATCAGCAGACACACATATGCACACGCGTCCTAAGCGTGTACACAGAAATACATATGTATATACACCACGTCAACATACATTTTAATTTATTATTCAATCCTAGTGAAAAGACGAAAATTTACGATTCGTACAAGAGCGAAGTATTTTTTCTTCTTTTAATTAAGGGGATTAAATTTATATATATATAATAGTGTGCAAGAAATTAGATTTAATTAAAAGATGCTAGATTTAAATGTCAATTACTTAACCTTATTTCGTTTTTTCTTTGGAAGAGAAAAAGAAGAGAAAATCAGAACAGACCAAGGAAAGTTTTCAAACATCTTTTAAATGTTTTCTTGTTGGGAGGGTATCCTTTTTTTGTAAGAAGGGTACCATTTAGAAAACAATTTAAACTCCAAAGATATATAACTTGTGTGCTAATTTTTTAGTGGTGAATTTTAAAACGTTACTTATTGCATTTTCATTTATAAGGTTCAGGGTAAAAGAGAGAGAGAGAGAGGAAAAAAAGAAGAAGCTATTTATTTGTATTACAAGAGAGAGGGAGGGAGAGTTTGTTTTTTTTTTTGCGGGGGGCGGAGGATAGACAGAAGAAAAAATATGTTATGAGGGACGTAAATATGAAGAAATTTTGAAATAAACAAACTGTGTGAAAGGTGTTTTTCGAAAACGGGGAGGCATTTACAGTTTTTATTTTTTAAATTTCCTTAAAAACGAATGATAAGAAGGCCTTAAAGTTTAGACTTCGTACAAATTAGAAACTTTCAAAATTAGAATTAATAAGTTATTAAAATAACATGCACGAATTAAAAATATTTATTTTTTTTTAAAATATATTTTGTTGTTTAAATGCGTGTGTGCAAATCGGGGGATTTTTAGCTCCAAGATCCATGAGTGAGAGACGAAAACACTATCTGTTTTGACGAGGTAGAAACGTTGCGTAGGTATATATCTGTAGAGAGTGGAGAGAAATTGATATTTACTTACCAAGGCAGAAGCCATGACTGGTAAACAATAGTAAACAGAGTACAGAAAGTATCATAATGGTAAACCTTCCCATATCCGAGTCGAGCGTGAATACATCTCTGCTTGTAAAAACGTCTGCGAAGCCTAATAGAGAAAGGACGTTTCTTGAACTCAAGGGAAGCGAGTCTGGCCGCTTCCAACAACAGTAATGAACTGGTGTGTGAGTATCTTAAAACCAGTGCCCCCACCATCACCGCCTGCTGCCCCTCCCTCTCGCCGGTCTCGCTACAGATATATCTATATACGTGAAAAAGAAAAAAAAAAGGAAAGAAAAGAGAACGTCACTCTGAAAATGCAGAGAGCAGGTAATGACGTTTCTTCGTGAGTTTTTAGCGCCCGAACTGAGGGAGGTTAAGACTACAGTTGTGCGGGAGGGGATAATAATAATAATAATGAAGATAATTTAAAAATAATATATATATATATGTGTGTGTATATATATATATATATATATTTATATATCTCTATATAAGTAAAGTTAGTAAAATAACTAACTCTACATAAAGATACCAACAAGCGAACTAACCCCCAAGTTACAAGAATCTACAACACCACTGCTTCTAAATGTGTGCGGGCGTTCTTGCCTATAGCCAGTACGGGCACTTGCTCGCTTGTTAAAAGTCCGTGTGAGTGCGTGCGGGTGTGCGATCTAATAGCCAGTGCCCCTCCCCCAAAACTATCTCTCTCTCACTCTCCCATTATTTCTTGCTTTCTTTTCTTT